GCTGGACGAATGTTCCAAGGATCTATGGGGCCCTAGTTGAATTATCATGGTTTGAGCAGTTTTTTTATGTCTTAGAGTGATCTTACGTCATGCTTCGTAATTCCAGCATTTAAACATTGGACAGATCTACTGCTTGCCTGGTTTCGCTCTACAAAGCTCAAATGCGGTGACTTGCTGCGCACAAGCAACGCAGCAGCATGAGGTGCAGGGCAGAGCATCACGTAATCTGCCCAAACTTGAGCGCTGGGTCACCAGCTTTTTCAACACAATCTTTTTGGCTGGCACAGGATTCTCTACAATGTTTACAGCTTTTCAACGTGAATCTCAGTAATTGCGCCTTATCTTGCAATTATACGCAAAAGCGTCTTCAATATTACTAGCTAGTCAAAGCCAACTTAAATCATTTCCATCTCTTCAACTTTCACTAATGCTGGAAAGGAACCATGACGAAAGATCCATAACACAATTCGAGCCAAATATGCTGTCAATATATGTAGTAGAGATGTATACCCAGTATAGTATGCTGCGTGCAAGAAGCTGAGACATGCAGGGAGGCAGCAGGCATCCCAAATGGGGGTTCTCCAACAAAAAAAAGAGGCCCTGCAACACCCTAGGGGTATATGTGGGTTCTAAAGGGATTATGAGTCATGAGGTCATGGCTAAGGATTCTACAGAGGTAATTTTGAGAAACTCCCATGTGACAACCGGTGAAATCATCGGCAGGGGCACCCGCGCCATCCTGCACCAAAGCAGCTACGAAAACAGCCAGCAGCTTGAATCCAAAGAGTCAGCGCTAGATTGGGCCAACCCTCGCGCCAGGCCGCAGGAAACGCCAGCTGCAAGCTGAAACATCCGTGCAAGATTACCAAAAAAAAACTGAGATAGGCAGAGGCCAGAGTGCTACGACACCATGCAGTGAAGCCTGTCATGCATAGGACTTCCAACATCAGGACGAAGCATCATGAAAAAGAACCACAGATCTTGGCATATAGTTTGACGACACCGTTACCTGACTAAGCGGTTACAATATATCCCACAGAAAACCAGACGCCTATGCAAGGAAGCCGGCCGCGGGTCTGAGCAGCGGAACGCGCCGCAAGCTGCGCACGGTTCATTATCCATTGCAACGAGTCGTGCTGCCGGTGTTTACGTGTGCGTATGTGTAGAGTGTTGGCTGATGACGCCAAACCCTGGAGCTTTGCCGCTCCTTTCGGTGATGGGAGCGAGTGAAGGATTTTAGGATCGCAGGTGGGAGTGAACACCTGCCCAGTTAAGGTGGCCTGCCTCGCTGCGGTCTAGGCTTCCTCAAGATTCCATCGGTTGGCTTTTGGAAGGCAAAACTGGCGTAGCTGTCGAGCTTTTTTTTGGTATAAGAATGATGGAAAGGTTGGACAAGCAACTCTGTGGGAGCAGATCCTTTGCCCTTGCATTGAGCGCAATGGCTGCGTGGACGCACAAAACATCCCTATCCTCCACACATGAAGAACGTTGTTGTTACATGTGGGCAGCTTCTACTGCAACTACAGGGTCATACAGGCAAACAAAATGAACCAAAATCGAAGCATCACTTTTAAGCAAGCAAGCACTCCATCCTCGGCAGTCAAGAGTTGGGGAGTGATGTCGGACAGAGGTTAGAACCAGAAGAGCCATGCATTCAGGCTATGGGATATAAGCACAGCAGACCGGCATGGAGAGGCCTCTGTCACAACACCTTAGCCTCCCTATGTACAGGCTACTCAACTGGCGTGTTGTAAGGGTTTCTTTCCATACATAGCCTAAGAAAAAGACTTTAAGATGCAGCTTGGCCGGCAAAGTCCTCATGGTTGGAAAGGAATCCCTCAGCAACCACCCGAGTCAAGGCCACTCAGAACCAGCCGGGATGGCCAACCGCTGTCGCTCAAAGCAGGGTGCAGCCTCCTCTGGGTGCCTTCACCATGCAGGTCCCTGCCCATGTGCTACTGCTACGTACTTCATGTTTACCCGGGAACAATCCACCGTGGACACTCCATGTCCCCGAGAATGAGCCTGACTGTTAGAAAAAGCAGGATCAAGTATGATGCTCATCCTATTCGCCTGTGCCTTCGCCTGACCAACATACTCTTCCCAAACATCCTACATGCAACTATGCCAGATTCATCCTGTCCTCAGCAACCGGCTTACCAAGTTCACAATGCTTTGCACAATTACAAACACAAGCATGGTGTCACCAGCAATTGAAACAACAGCTGCAACCGTCAGAAATGTGGTAGGTTCCCTAAATAGGGGGACGCCAATATATATCCTAAAATACGATAATCCTCATTGTTGGGACCCCCACAAAGGCACCCCTGATTTTGGGAAACCCCCAAGTTGTGAAGGACCAAGGGCAGCATGGCGAGCAGCAGAGCTAGAACGACTTCTCGGGAAAGCTTTCCAGCTCATCGTGCTCAACCCTTGACTTACTCTAATAGCAATAACAGTAATAAAGCAACAATAGAAATCGTGATAATCGTAATAATACTAATAGTAGTAAAAATCAGAATAGTAATACCAATAACAGTAACAATAGCAGTTCTAATAGTAGCAGTACAACCAAACCAACAAATTGCTGCCCTGGCAGGGTAGAAGGCCTCGGTGGGCGACCGAGATCCCGTGGAGGATGTGCTGGCGGAAGGCCCTGAGGGCGCCTCAGGGACGGCAAGACAAGGCTAAGTCTCTGCTGCGCAACATTAACATGGAACCCCACATAATCTCAGAGTCCTGTGTCACAGCTTCAAGGGAGGCAGTCTACCAGGGGCGCTTTTTGTTGCTCCATGCTAGCTTAGGCAGGGTAAGTCTGTCTTGATGAGTTGAAATGAAACCTTGGACTCAAGATCCGTACATTTTGCACGCCCTGAGTATTGAAATGGCAGCTATTGAAGGCCACCAATTCGGATAATATACTCATCAAAATTACCTTCCCTCTTGCACACTTAGCTGGTAACCTACTTGAACACATTCTCAAAACTTTTGCGTCACTTTTGGAGGTCCCTCATCATGCCCGTGCTAGGCACCCATCTCTGTAAGGCTCCAATAGGACAATCCTTGAGCCGGCAATCCTTGTGACCCTGCTCCAGAGTAGGTGCTGCTTCCGTACTCATCAGCCATAGAACAGATTCAGCGTTTTTTGGGTTCAGGGTACTTCGGATCCCCGTTTCGCTAACTGATGGTGAGCACAGATATTCCATGGGAAGAGTCCTCCTCCAATGGAAAAACCGACTTCTGTCATAAGGCGCAGGTCTTAAAGCCAAAGCGCAGGACAGGAAGAAGAGGAGGAGTAGCTGGAGCTGGATTGAGCTGGAGTAGTGGCAGGAATGATTTTGTTGCAGCCGCAGCAGCAAGAGTCATACCAGTAACAATGATATCAACAATAAGGTGCATCCGGTACGGACAACAACGCCTAGGAGTGCGGCAATATTATTAGCAACCATGATGACTCCCTTCTGCATGGCGCCTCGACGGGCATGGCTTCCATGGGCTCGCCAGTAGGCTCGGCAGTGGGCTCGTCTTTCGGACTGCCGATGCAGGTTCATTATCATTATCACAGGCCTATAGTCCTCCTTAAGTAGATACAATATGGTTTTGGGTATCTAATAAGATCCCCATATACTCCATGTTCTATCTACTTAAGGGGGACTATATAACCAAGGCAACTTACAGTCAGTACTATCAGAACTGTCAGACATAGGTGCAGAACCCCAGCATAGCCCAGCAAGCAACCGTCTGTTTTGATGTGATCGCTTTGCTGAAGGCCCTTCTCGGCATGATCACTATGGAGGATCTCAGGCTCATTTGCATTGACAACATAATAACGTCCAAGAAATCGCATGAAATGCGGCCCCTTCTGTACCAATGACTTGCTGGTTGCTAGTAATTAGGGAGTAAAGGAATATAATCCTTATGTATATCCACTAAATAATCCCCATAGAATCCCTAGAATCCCGACATAATCCTCCTGTAACTTATTCTCATTATCCCCACTAAGCCCCCAAGTGACTTAATCATGGATCCCAAACTTCTTCGTTGGGAATAAATATATCATATCGAGATAAGAATAGGGCGAATGGAAAAGAAAATGGAACCATTATTTAGGGCTTAGGATTTAGGCCTTAGGGATCCGTTTTGCTGGTAAGGAACTTCCTTTTAGCTACCATGTACGGCTGCCCTGGTATAGTAAGTTAATTGAAGTTCCTTAAAAGCAACCCAGCCTAGAACCCCATGGAATTCACTTCGGCAAGTGCCAATACAGGTTTGTGTAAGACTAGGGGTCCCTTCTGCGGATCCCCCTAACACGGATTGCAATGCTTGGGAGGTTTTGGGTTTTGGGGCCCTGGCTGAAAATTTCCATTTCTATCTGTATAATATGGTAGATTTCCATTTTATTTTCCATTATCCCAATATATAACCCATATATTAATATCCCCCTATATAACCCCTATATATCCCATTATAGTATCGCAGCTACAGTCAGGACGATGCTGGGCAGGCCTCCCGATGCCTTCTGCCTGGGCAACGCAGCTCACGCAGTAGAAAAAGCGTTGCCGTAAGGGCGCTGCATTTCTGCTTCTAAAACATTATTGCGTAAGTTGAAAGAGCTTCCTAATCTGAAATACGGCCATGCAGGGGGTGGGGGGGGCGTTGTCTACGTAAATAACCATTTGAAGTGAGGCCGACATGACGTGCCCAGATTGGAACATCATTGGATTCCAGAAGTATGTTGCAGAAGGCCCCATGACGAAGCGCTGCAGCGCTTGCAGGCTGAAGATGAACAACAACGCTCCCGTACCACCATCACAGCCTGCTGTAAGGACCCCTTCTGCTACTCCACGAAGAAGCGAACATCAGCAAGGCCATGTCTCTCATGCTAGTTATCAATTCATAGAATTCGCGAATTCGCAGAGGCATCGGCCGCTATGCAAAGAAGTACAAGGACAAATGCGACGCGTAACTGTGTCCAGCGATCTGCCACAGGCGGAATGAAGTTATGACAGATGACCCATGCTACTGCGCGCTGCCTTCAACTTGCCCTCTCGGAAGTCCCGGACGAAGTCGCGCAAAACTGCTGCGTCAAGGTCCTGGCTGGACTTGGGCCGGTCACAGCAGCTCCCTGATATGCAGCCGTAGTCTAGACTCCTAATATCCCCCCTCACAACCCCTTAAAGTAGTCCCGCATACAATCCCCCGTAGAACCCCCTTTAAGGAGTATAGACTGCAGCTCATTTGGCTCATATGCTGGACCGTCTTGCGCTGCCTGAAGTCATTGCAACAGAAACAACTCGGTCCTCGTCAGACTCCCAGCGATACCGCTTCTCTTTGTCCACGTCCAGGATTGCAAGCGCTGGGCTGCTGTCCGCGGCACAGAGATTGCGGACCTCCAAGCAGCGGTGGTGGAAGCAGGAAGGAGAAATGACAGCAATACTTCTGCTTCCTCCTCCTTATGCACTGAAAGCAACTTGTGTCTCCGGCCGCGCCGCAGAAGCTATGCAATTGAATCAACACGGGCAAGCGATTGTCCAACAACTTCCCTTTTGAGCCATTGATTCTGTAGCAATTGCATGTCTGTCACCACATGGCAAGCTCATCTTTGATGCCTCCCACTTGAAATAACCCAAAGACTCCACACCAACAAGAGCTGCATGTAGCACATAACACATCTGTGATGCTTTGTGCGTCTCTTGCAGTGATTGGTTTGGCAGGGCCCGGTTCGAATAGCCAGAATTGTTGCAACCTGTCTTTTGCGCGAATTGGTGCGTGGCGCATATGTTGCCACCTGTAACATACAAAACGACTGGCATCCTCTGCCAAAAGATTTGCACTGGGCCCCTTGATAGGTTGCGCAACCGCCACATCTACACATTGGAATGACCACAAAACTACTTTGCGCCTGTTGCGGACATATGCGCAGCAAACCTCAATGTGCGGCAGTTCGCCACGGAAATATGTAACCAATCTTTCGTCTAGCGGATAGCGCGCGGTTGTTGACCGGGTGACATAACCATCAAGCCTCTGTTTCGGCTTTCTTGTTGTTGGTCAAGGCATGTTAAGGCAACATGCAAGTTTTATACTGTGAAACAGACCCACCCAGACGTGGTGCGATTCATGATAAGCTTGGAATGGTTTGGAGTCCAGCCGGAATGTCAGGCGCTACCACCACAAGACGCCCGTCAGGCATCTTATTCGCGGCAGCCTCACGTTGAGGCTGGCCGCCCAGCGCATCATCAATCGCACCACATCCAGATGGTCCCCATCTCACACATAAAAACAGCTGTTGCCAACTGTAATCTCTACTGCTTTGTAATACAAAGGGGTTTGCCGCAGAATGTCCTTGTCGCAAGGATTGACTAACGCCGGACAGCAGCAATACCCAAAGATTCTGTGCAGCTGCAAAGCAGGACAGTCTGATTCAACGGAGCATGGGCATAGTCACCGCTCGGCAGTGGTGCATCCCGCACCTTGAAAAACAGCCCTCTGCAATCTTGGCCAAAGCTCGAAATTCGAAGTTCATCACAAAAGCTGTGTTTGCCCCCATGCCTGCCTTGTAGGCAGGAGGACAACAGCTTTGGCCAAGATTCCGAAGGGCTCCGCAAGGCTTCAACATCAGAAGCCATAGACGCTGTCTACGGGGATGATCGACGGACTGGGAGACAGCTCAACATTAGCCTGCCTGTGCCTCTGCAATTCGATATAAGAAGAGCACGGACAGCAACCACGAACCAGGGTGGAGGCATGTAACGACTGGGCTTGCCGTGTGCCTGCGGTACAGCCCCTGTTGGCTGCAACGCGACGAAGAAAAGGATGGAAGGCACCTTGACCAGGGCTGCGTTGAGATCCCTGCGGAATATGTAGCGCTTGGCATGCTCTTGTGCTGGTTCTGAAGCTCCCAACACCCATGGCGTGCTTTGACCTTGCCGCGCACCACAGCCATGCTAAAGTGTAAGTTCCACACCTCTCCATCCTTCTTCCCCAGCGCATCGTGCACCTGCATGCAAGTTCAAAGCACTAAAGTAAGCGCACGGTAGCATCTCAGCCGCTGCCTCCTCCGCGACTTCCATCATGGACTGAAAGAGCTGGTGTTGCCTGGCCGAGCACACGTCTATCGACCGTGCTCGATATCTCTAGTTCCTTCAGACATGGACCCACCCTGATAGCAGCAAGGCCCGTCGCAAGAGCGCGCTTGCGGGCTGTAGTCTTCCGGCATCACAAGTGAGACTTGAGGAGCCAGGAGGTGTGGAAATGTGGTCGGACTTACATGAAGAACAGCCTTTGCTGGCCCATGGTGGTTTCGCTAGCCGCTAGTGTGGCTGCAGAGGCTGCAGACAAGGCATTCAGTAAAAAAAAAGCCATCATCAGCTATGATCCATGATCCATGAAAAGCCGAATCCATCAGCTGGAATCCTGGAAATGAGTGTGGTGGAAACCTCTGGAAATCGTTGCTATCCCGACATCACAGCAGGCATATTAAGTGTTCGTAGGATTGTTCTGCGAATGAGCAAAGAAGGAGCACTCGCCGAGGGTCTGCAGCAGAGCGCCGAGCCAAAGTGGACCCCAGAAGCCTTTCTTTGGGATCCCAAGACGTGGCGCGCCACTGAAGTCCACACTGCGCGTACACTAAGTATGACAGTTACAGAACTACGTACAACACAGTATACGTTGCACCCAAAAATTCTGAAGTGTTTTTGCGCAAGACCGCAACCGCATGACCAAAAGCCTACAGAAAAGAGCTTGCGAAAGCTCATGATTTATGGCGGAGCTTTCCACTGACAAAGCCTTCCGCGAAAGCGTCCGCATGCTTCCGCTTGCACAACGCAGCAGTTGCTGCAATCATGACTTGAGGACTAGTAACTCGTAATTAGTCCAATAGCGGGCAACAAAATGTGGACATGTTGTGCCTTTCATCTATTTCTTGCAACAATGAGTGCATGACTTGGAGGCTAACGAAGCTACAGGCCCTTCTGGTTACTATGCACATCATTGCAAGTCGAGAGGGCTTTGACGCAGTATCTGAAAGGCGCACGAAGTGTTGAGAGAAGGGAAATGGTCGCTCAACGATGCACTATGTCAATGCGCCTGTACGGAGGCAAGCCTTCCATGAACAAGCACACGCTGGGCACCTCGGCGGACCCTTCAAAAAACCATAAAAAGCCAAAGTCAATGCCGGTATGCGGTATGCAAAGTTACGAACTTCATTTGCTCACGGAGCAGCTTCTCTCATGACTCATCTGATACCAGGAATAGGACCTCACGAAAAAAGTCCTTTTCAAAGGTAGTGTCAAAGGGCTGGGCGGTCTGAACGGGTATGCCCTTGACAAGTAGCAAACAGCAATTCGTTGACCCTAGGGTAAGAGCCGCTCTTCCTCACGAGCTCACAGAATGATACAACCTGCTGCTAAGTCCTAGGAAGAAATCCTCTGTGCAGCATTGTCTGTAGTCTGTAGGTCTAAGGTCTTGACATCACATGCCCCGGTTAACAGCACTGCTTACCGGACCGGAACCCCCAAAGGTTTTCAAAAGAATATGCTCTGAGATCGGTGTATGGTCCCTCTTCAGGATTGCTTGCTGATCTTGGGACAACGTCCTATGCAAAACTCCCACGTACGGAGTAACGCGCTGAAATTTTGCTCGTCCCGAAGTCTGGCACAGTTCGCAAGTCCGGGCTTGCTCACCACTCGAGCTGAAAAGGGAAAGGAACAATCGCAATGCGTTTGCATGCTTTCTTACACTACGCTTCAAACTTTCGCTTGCGGGACATCTTCAGCCATTTCTCTTTGGGGCCATCATCTGGGAAGCTCCCCTCACACTCGCGCAGAACTTCAAACCCTGCGCTGTTATAGCAGTGCTGGCCCTTGACGTTGGCTTCCAGGACTGAGAGGCATGTGGCTTCGAATGGCCAGCTTCGGGTAATTGCCAGCTTTTCTGCTGCTGCCATCAGCAGCTTGCCAACACCTGGGCGGTTGTCAAAATTATGGTCCCTTTCTGGGCACCCTGAATATTAGGTGCCGTATTAAAAATCTGGACCCAAAAGGAAACCATAATTTTGACAACCACCCACCTCTGTTCTGGTGTTCGCGGTCGACCTTAAGGTAGCCGATGTTGAGGTTTGAGTCCTTGGTAACCCGGTAACCATATTACCATTAGAGTACCCCTTTATACCCTTTGCTTCTCATCGTCTAGTTGTTGAAAGGAATCCAAATCACCAAAATGTGGCTGCAAACAATACCTACACTGGGCCCTGAAGTCTACGGGGGTTAGGATTTAGGGTTTAAGGCCTCAAATTGATAAACAAACACTATTCACTTTGGGCTATTTGGGGCCGTAGGGACTAGACATCCCAGGATCCTCTTTGTTGGCATGAACGTAACCCGCGATGTCTCCAGTAGTCTGGTCAACCGCTGCGAGAGTGAAGGCCCGGTCGTTCTTTCCAAGGCAATTGTTTTCGATGACCTTGACCTGGGTTTGCGTAAGGAATATAGGTATGGGGATTAGATTAAAGATTATGTAAGGTTTAGCTAGGGAATATATAGGCTGTCCGTAGGAATATGACCCCCATTATGGAGGGTCAAATGGGAAAAATGTCATGGAACCTGGGATGGAACAGGTTTTTGAGGTGGACTGTGCTGCGCGCCTTGAGATGTTTTTGCACAGCTTAGACGAACTAGAAACAAGGGAAATCAAAGCATCCCCAAATCATACCCAGACGCGTAGTTTTGGCCATCCTCCAGGGTAATTTAAAATAATTTCAATTCCCAATTTGTGGCCATTTTTGTACTATTCCCTATATAAGCCACCCTTTAGGGTGAAGTCGGGTGAGGTCGCTTTAATTTGCCCAGCATCCTCAGAAGGTACTCCCATGACGTCATCGCACCAGTTTTGCACGGTAAGTGATTTGTGCCATTTCTCGCGAACGAAGAGGTCCGCGTGGTCGAACACCAGCTCCCGCTCCTCGGTTCATGGGGTCATGAGGACTAACGAAATCACCAAATGGGTGGTGTGAAGGAAGCGTGAGGTGCTAAGCCTCCCTCGCTGCTTGGCGACCCAAATTCTTCTTGAATGTTTGGACACAAGAGCCGCAAAGAATCCGATTTCCATCAGGTGTTACCTTCAGCCCCATGGCAATCTCCATTGGGAGTTCCGCAAGGCAGTCCGCAAATAATTCTTTGGATGCAACCCTTGCAACCCCGTTTCGTAACTACCGCCATACATACGGATCTGTATTCCTGATCTCTCTAAATGGACACCTTCCCTGAAGAAGCTTACAAACACTTACCATAAACCGCAGTAAAAGCACGGGGTCCAAAGGCCCTGCTTTTGTCAACAAAAAAATCGTGTTTCGTTCAGTACATCCTGCCACCCAAGTCTCAGATTGCCGGATTCGCTTTGCAACCTTCGCAGGAGGTTGGCAGACAAAGTAGTCTGTCCTCTGCTCAATAGGCAGGACCTGTGAGTCTTAGGAGGAGGGTCTGGCAAAAATGGGCTGGGCAAACCCTAACTGATCCTCAAGATGATGGGATCCCTCCCAAGAATTCTAAGGTGTTTTTGAGATACTCCTACCTGCTTCTTGTCGATCCTCGTCACGCTCCTGGGAAGACGGCTGANNAAAAAAAAAAAAAAAAAGGATGTTGCTACGTATTCCTACCTACCAGGACCCAATTTTAGTTCTGCCTAACTAAGAGGGTGGTTGGAGCCTAGTTGGAGCATCTAGGTATACGAAGTGGCGGACGCATCACATGCAAGACACCGGCCATGCCTTCTTTGCCTAACCAGGGGCTCCTCCGTTCTTCCTTTTTGCGTGTGGTTTTGGTCAAGGAACTCTAATATAAGATAATATGGCCCTTCAAGAGGAACACTTCCAAATTGACGCCTTCGTCAGAATTCTTGGGGCTTCTTTTCGAGCCGATTAGGCCTTGAGAAGTCGGGGGTGCGCACTTGTTACGGGACCCATGGTCGTCAAGTGACATGAGCGCCAAGCTTCCACTGAACCCTGCTTCCTAAACCTGCACCCTGTACACCCCTCACGGCCGAAAAAAAAAGCTCCTGTCGTCTTCTGCATGCTGAAACACCCAGCAGGCTGCTGTGGATCTTTCTGTGCCAAATTCGCAGACCTGTCCTCAGGCTGATGAAATAGGGGAAGCAGACAAAGTGCAAGGGCTATACGCTACTAAGGCTTGTGAGTCGGCCCCCCTAACAGCTGATCCAAAAACCCTGCGAAAACTATGTCTCAAAAGTATGTCCAGAGGAAGGGAAAGATACCAACAACCTGGAGGTCCAGGGCACGTATAGCCAATCATATATCTGTACGTATAACCCAGCGCAAGTCACCTAATACGGCTATAACGGCTTACACTTCCCAATTGTATTTAGGTTATAGTCACCCTCCAATGATCAGCCAAAGTCACTCGCATTCAGTTCTGAGATGCGTTGACGCTCGTAGGTTGCTCCTGAATGCTAGTTGAAGGTTAAGGGCCCCGAAACCTTTTCATGAACAGGTTCCCTTATACAACAACAGTTGGAACGAATAGTTGTCCAAAAGTGCCACCTAGTCGCTGTCTTTATCATTGGCGCATGCGTCGCGGGACTTTTGTGTCCGCTTCCGCTGTTCGAACCCTAGCCGTCTGATCTCATCCCTCATGGTCTGGCATGTTGCGAGTGCCAGAAGCAGCCTCTCCTGCTCTGTTGACAGGTCTAAGTTGCAACCTAAGCCCGCCAGGAGACGGGCAGTTTCCACATGGTTGCGCAGGACCGCGTATGTCATGGCCGTCTGCTTCTTTTTGTCGCGGTAGTTGGGCGAGAAACCCAACATGACCAGGAAGCGCACCACGTTCTGATTGCCGCTCGCCGCAGCATAAAAAAAGAGGCGTTTGGCCGAGCTTGTCGGCATAGTCCAGCCGGACGCCCTTTTCCACCGCCTTCCTTGTCAGCTCCAAAGAGCCGGGCAGCTTCCGAGCCGCTGTAAAGAAAAGTATTGTCTGCTGAAGATCTTCGTGTAGCGCTCCGATATCCAGGTTCCTAAGTGCCTTCCTTGCCTGCGGCAAAGGCCCGTCCCTCACTGTAAAGAAAGGACATGGAGCATCCATGGCGCCACAAAGGAAAGGGCTCCTTAGGCAAGTTTAGATAGAGAGGCATGGCCCTCACACAATTAATCCTATGTCTTGGCATCCGGTCGACACCTGCATATGCGCCAGGTCCATGATACAAAGGCACTCAGCTTTGTCTAGCATATTTGAGTGAGCCATATGAACAACATCACACGTCCTGCATGTCACGTGCTCGCCCAACATGCAGCCTCGCTCAGGTCACGATGCTATGTCAACCTGAAAGCTGTGCCTGAAGTATCCTTGGAGATGCGATTCTGCCACCTACATGCCAGTAGTCCATACCGCAGGCGTCATGCATCGTCATGCGTACCACAAATGCCGGACTGGGAAAAGGCTTGCTGAATTCTATACCAATAAAGCCCGAGACCTTTATCCTCGGACAGCCCAGGCTTCCGGCAGAATTGACTTCCTCGATGGGCTTCGCCAGGTCCAGCCTCACAACTACTTCTGGACTTATTGATTCATGACAAAGAAATTGCGGTTTGGGACAGCTCGGGGTTCGGGGTTTGTAAATCATGGTTTGGGATGTTTGGCTTGCTAGGGTTGAAGCGAGAGCAAGTGTGTACTTACCCTGCATCCTGGCAAGACAACTGCCAATGATAGTGATTCTATTGTTAGGGCAGAATGACATGCTGGCTGTGGCTAGCTAGTCAAAATCATACCAGCTGCCATGGCTGCTGTTCTGAAAGCCATTTTGCATAGGGAGGCCTAGGGGACTGGCACTGGCCGGTTGTAGATCTCCAGTCTGCGTTCCACCACATCCAACATGACGCCCCTGGAGATGGCCTGGTTTGGACATGGAACATGCCTGACTTGAGGACCTGAAACCTTAAGATCACCCTGCATCCCGCCAAACATTACGTAGGCCGTAGGCTGCCACTATATTAAGATATTATTGCAGTACAATGTTACTACATTACTACATTACTACATTACTACATTACTACATTACAAGCATGAAGTGGGGAGGCAGGGCTGGGATGAGTCTGCAGTCTTCAGGTATGGGTTCTGCCGAAACCAGACGCACAGTCCTATCTGGCTGGTGACATATAGGCTGGGGTACATTGGGGTTTTATAGGAATAATGGAAAAGAAAATGGACACTACTATTGAAGGTTTAGGGTTTAGGGCGTGTCTCTTTCTTACAGCCACACATGGCACGGCCTACTAGAAATACCGCTTATCCCTCCGTAGTCGCTGCGGGTAGGTAGCGCCAGGCACGTTCACGGATCAGATGAGCTGTAATGAGCTGTCTTTGCTTTCGTCATGAAGGCAAGGTAGCGACGGTTCCATTTAGCTAGGAAGACATGTGCAGGCCTTAAACCCAGCAGTCACATAACAAACGGCTGCCTGCGCCTTGGTTGGCTTTGCAAGATACTTGGTGTAGTCGCGGTCGTGCGTGTAGGAGAGACAACTCAGAAGCCGCCAGGTTGGAAGCGGACAAGCACAAATCAAGAATAACCGTGCATTGAATCGCGAGACAGTCTGCATTCAGTGACCCTTTCGCGGATCTGATTGCAATCGTTCTTTGCAAGAGAGCATCGCCAATAAAAACACGATGCCTCCTGCTTCCGCTCCTCCTCCTCCTGCTCCTCCGCCTTCTACTACTGGGGAGCAGGATGGAGATCTCCTGAGCTTCGAGCATCTTATCTGGCGGGTCGGCGGCAGAGCTTCTGAGTCGGTGGTCCTGGTAGGCCTGGCAGCATACAGCTGAGCGAATTGTGCGGCCTACGGGCAGAAAAACGACAACAAAATGCCGGGCCTGTTCCGTGCTGAACGTATCAAAAACGAATCGCAACTCCGACATGGGGGCACCGTGCTGCAACAACCTTTTTTTGTGGTTTTACCCAAACCTTCCTCAACTTAATAATAGTAATTGCAAGAGACTATAGGATATTACGTGGTTATAGCCTGGGCTTTCCCTTACCTAGTCTCCATCCACTCCACCTCGGAAGCTCGATACTTCGCACTGACAGACCAAAGGATGAAATTGATGCGCTCCCCAGACTCGATGTCATCGGCGCCTTAGAGCTGCAGAGTTTAAGGTCTAAAGGGGCTGAAATATATGGAAAAATCGGGGAGTGGGCCCCTTCCCTACAAATTCCTCATAATGATTAGCTTCTAGAATTCTAGAACCCTATCTCCTGTTGCCAACTAGCCATGAAGTTTAAGGTGAGGCTCGAAATACAGGCCGTTCCTCAGGGCTCCCTCTACACGAAGTATGTCACACGCAGATCCCATTGCCATCCTCTATCATACCATGGTGAAGAATTTAGTGGTTTGGGGCTCTGATCCGAGGTCCGAAGCTTCTGGCTTATGCTGCAATTGGATTGGACTTTTTGAGTCGTGTGGGTTAGTCCCAGCAAGATATGTGCAAAATGGGGTTCCTGTTGAGGGGGTCTTTAAACGAGGATCGCCACCTCTGGGAGGCGTCTTCAGGGTCAAGACAGTCAAGCTGTAGCAAGTACTTCCACAGGGACAGGTCCAGCAAGCCATCTTCCAACAAAGAAGACAAACAGCCCTTGAACACCCGTTGCTGTACCCGCCATCAGACCCGACTTGCATGAAGAGTGGGGGATGTTGCACTGGATTCAAGAGGCCACGCCTTTATGCAGCCAGTACGATGCTCCGGTGCAGTGGTCATACATCCCATGAGGCTTTGAGGGGGGCGCCATGGCGCTGTCGTCCCAGGTGGATCACAGCACGGCCCTGCATGCCGTAGGGATGATTGCCGGTTGCAGTAGATGGCAAACAGCGGTGCACAGCAATACGGTACATACTCATAGGAATTGCAACAGACTGGATCGGAGAAGTAACAACAGCAGGAATGGTGCACCGTGTGCCTACCTTCTCGTGCGAGTAGGTGTACTGCATCTTCCGGTGGTTGGCATCAGTAACCAACCCGCAGAAGGACAATGTTGCCCCGGAAAACTCCTGCCAAGTGAGGAGACACGGGCGTGTCCAGAACTACTGGGCCTCGCTGACATCTGAATCTCACCCCATTTAGGAAAGCATAGGCTCCGAATTTTGCCACATGCCCGGAAGACTCATGCCAAAATCATGCGTGCATGGGCTGCATCTCCTTCCCCAAGCACACGTTCAGGGTCACGTCGGAGTCATCCTCGTGCATGTCCAAGCCCACATCCTCACCTGCTTTGTACCTGCCACTCCCAATATATTTCCATTTTCTTTTCCATTATCTCAATATAACCTCAATATACATATAGTAGTTTCCATTTTCTTCTCCATTATCTCAAGATAAGCCGAATGAACTATATAGTAGTTTGCATGTTCTTTCGCATTATCTCCATCTACCACCAATATACTTTATAGTAGATTCCCACTTTCTTTTAGATTATCCCAATATCTGACCCCAATATCCTATGTAGTAGCTTCCATTTTCTTTTTCATTATCCCAATCCTAAACCCCAAACCCTAAATCCCATATGAGCTATCGTCTAAACTCCTAGTATCCCCCTTAATAAGCCCTATAATAGTCCCCTACATAATCCCCTATATAACCCCCCTTTAAGGAGTTTAGACTATAGCTCATATAGTAATTCCCATTTTCTGCAAGTCTTAGGCCTGACTACAGACTGGCACGCATGCTGCTACCTCGGAAAATAAAATGGAACCTACTATTTAGGGTCTAGTGTCCAGGGTTTGGGGTCAGTCCGGCCCGCTGTCGTTCGACTCAATGAACTGAATCATAGATTGGGACCACAATAACTATAGGTTTAGATTTGAAATATTGCCCATACAAGTCATCTTGGACTACGGATAGGTAGGAGTACGGGCTCCGCATCGAATCCATTGCTGGAATGCAGATCGCCACACATGTCCCAAACAAAGTGAGTCATTACAAGGCGCGGCCCGTCCTCACGATGAAACAGTGATGATCGTGACAATCTTCAGATTCTTGTGGATACAGCGTGGTCATGAGAGGCATCAAGTACTCCTGTCATCTTTTGATGAGACATGTCGAAACAAAGTGACCACAAACTGAAGATGAAATGACGGCGGCTGCTACTGCAGCTTCTGCTACACCTGCTACGGTTTCGGACACAACGCCAGGCATTTGCAGGCAGGTCCTGCTGCAGCTCAGATATGAGGGGCTCCAAACCTTGGTGCAAGCTTTGCTTCCGCCATGGCTCCCTCGATCAGGAGTTTCCCAAAATTGGGGGTACCTTAAGGGTCCCTAGAATCCCCCTTAGGGCCCATGTTGGGGGCCCATACTTCTAACCCGAAACCAGCCACGGAGAAAAGGTCCGATAAAAAAGAACTACACCTTATCTTCGGGGCCAATACTTCTAAGCTTAGATGTTCTTGTCCATTGAAGCCAAGCTTCGATCTTCCTATTGGTTCCTCGTCTGGGCCCTGAATCCTGGGGTCCTTACTTATTGCATATCTGGGGTCCCCTCATTTTATTTTGGGAAACTACCGTATAACGTCTCTCGGAGCTGCTCGCAAGAATGATGGGCAAACGATGGCCCTATGAGCGCCCACTGGAGTTCGAAAAAACACGCAAGCGAACTTTGACAGTAAGGCATGCCAGCGGAACGGTTAGGGTTGATGAGTTTGGGGCAAGCATCTGCCAAGGTAAGCCTTATGCTGCGTATCTGATCCTTGCCAGCCCCAGTGCGACCTCTCAAAACAGTGATCCCTGCAGATGCGACCTATCATTTTGTTAAGTTCTCTCCATGATTCCGAATCTTTGCATGTAGCATGCTAGGAGTAGCAGCCTTCAACAGACGGAACCGAAGTCAGCTCACCCAGGTCCGTGCCGAGTTGATTCAGTACCAGCCCATACCTTCCAAGGAGTTTCAAAGGACTTCTCAACCCGTCACGATTCCAGGGAAGCGGGATCACAACAGTGACGACAACGCGATGGCGGTGATGACGATGGCGACAACCACGATGATACTGATGATGATGATCATCATCATTATCGTGATGGTGAAGGGTTACAGGGAAGAGGTCGGCTTTGAAGAGGGCTTACTGATCAGCTATTCGTTCGAATCTGGTGTGTTGTTTGTCCGCCATAGCTACGGTGGCATCCATAGCCGACCCAAACATTGCGTAAATCTCATTTGTCAGGGTACAAAGCGTAGCCGCAAACTGGAGACGCTCGCAATCCCAGAATAAGAAGGAACGAGAACACTAGCGAGTTCGATGCACAACGTTGTCATGGCAACTTGATGATGAGGATGGCGATGATGATGATGATGATGATGACGACAATAGTAGCTACGGCCACTGCACCTTGGGGTTGCCATAATACCGAGGATGATGAAGGGTGTGATAAAGCAAGTACTAACTACAGTTATCACTTCGTGTCTACGACGGAAGATTCATCAGAATTCTTGTCCACGCTGCTATGATATCTCAAGAAGATGCCAGGGCTACGCTTCTGACTGAGCGCCCATGCAGAGGCCTTGTCCCAACACGCTGAGCCCTGAGTAATCAATCCTAAGCCCAAAACCATCCAGCCAGGGCCCCAAGCGCTAAACCCTGAAGCCCTCAAGAGCCCCAGCCAAATGCCTGGCTTGTCAAGGTCCCGATCTAGACTGGTGACTTCACCCATCTGAGGATAAAAATACCCTTGTATGTTCCCAAGACATCCTTACCAAATTCCTGGATTATACCTTCAGGGGGATCAATGAAGGTATACTGATGATCTACAAAAAAACTTCCACAAGTCCAAAGGAGGGAGAAGAAAGGCCTATTCATGCCATTCGGCCGGTCCAGCTCCTTTTCCAGGGGTCCAGGTCGAGGGGTTTCAGGGTCTAGTAGTAGGTAAGAGCTTAAGCTTAGGGTCTTGGCAAAGCGCAGGACCCTCGATTACGATGATCGCAAACGATACGGACCTCAGAACCTCTTGATGGCAATCCTGTCAAGCTCGCTGAGAATTGAAAGCCAAGCTCAATCCCCAGATTAAAGCTGCAACCTGAAACTGTAGATGCAGCTTCAAGAAAGGCTGGACCAGGACTGCACGATCAACAAATGCCAAAGATCGCCTAGTAGCCGATTCAATAGCCAAGATCGATTGCCAATCTTTGTTCCGTAGGGCTTCTAGGGAGTGTGCACATTGAGCGACAAGAGCTTGTTTACAGCCCCGATCCTCGGGAACTTTGAACCATCTATAGTCCCTTTGGAATCTCAAGAGGGACCTCCATAGTCTCCTTACATTCCCTACGTATCCCTTGGGTCTTCAGGGTATCCCGGCTCTGAGAAGCTCCCATTGTATGAAAATCCCTACAACCCCTCAAGTTCTTCTTGCAACTTGTCCCTTAACGAATGGTCTGGAAGTTAGTCCCATCAGGGGGCAGATGTTCCTAGGGCGGCCCGCATGGACTTGCTGAGGTTAGAGCAGAGGTTCCCCTAGACAGGCTGCAAGAAATTCCCAAAAGATAAGACGCGAAGACACCTTGTTTGTTGGCCACCCACGTTTGCAATACTAAACCCTATGCTAAACCGTAAATCCTAGGCCCTAAACCCTAAACTCTAAACCGTGCGTCCTAAATCCAGACGTGGCCACACCGCACCTACCATTTTCAATGTTTTTTAAATAAAATTCCTCAAAAATCCGCCCAGGTCATATCCTCGGCATGCTCTTCTGCCGGGGGGGGCAAGAGGGGTGCAAGGGGGGCAGGGGGGGGGGTGCATTTCAAACATACCAGGACTAATTGGATGTTGCTCACATTGCTACAGGAGATCCGTGTTTCCGCGAGTGGCACACAGAAGGCTGTAAATCCTGCCCTTGTCGACTACTTGCTTCAGTTTGTGTACCGCTGGCACCACGAAGGAAATTTCCAGTCTCTCAAGCTCAAAATGGGCAAGTTCTTGCAGTCAAAGGAAGCCCGACAAGCAAAAAAGGGCTGCAAACTAAGTTGGCACACTCACGAATGCTGGCATGCGCAATGAAAGTAGGAGGGGCGCAGTGGGCCCACCAGGCCTTAAGTCCTAGGCCCTAAACCCTAAACCGTAACCCTGATTCTGCGTCCTCGCGGGCTGTCTGCTGAGCATGACTTACCTCTTCCAGGAGCTTCTCACAGAACCTGGCCAAGATCACTTGAATTGTGTTTTGGGGTGGTTGAACCATGCGGTTTAGGGTTTAGGGGTGTAGGGTTATTCTTTATGTAAAATACTATACCCAGAAGGAGGTTGTAGTCTTACTCTATATGGGTACCATCGTATTGTTCTTGCCCCAAATGAAGTACCTCTCATTTGCACTCTGGTTTTCTTGCTGCCCCAGGAAGTACAGTATTTCTGCTATGAGCTGTGGGGATTTGTGCTTTTCTGACTTTGAGCCCACTGCGGCGTCCCAGTTGCCTGGAGTTTCTTGGTGTTTGATGCCGATCTGACTACACAGGCTGTATGATCTGGCAATCCGGACCTGCCCACTCAGAGCTAGAGGATATGAGGCCGAGGAACACTTCAAGGGAGTGGATAAGGTGAAGTTGCTGGCCAAGGATTCGAGAAAGAAGGTTCAGTTGCAAGGTACTGCACATGTGCACACTGGAGTTTGGTGGTTAACACTGGCTAGGAGAATCCTGAAATTCCTGATGTTCGAATCAGACTGACATTCTTCTGAACACTACAAGGGCGTTTGGGGAGGGGTTGGGTGGGGAGGGGGGGCCCTACCTGTAAATCAAATGTCTAACCCTGTTCACCTCAACTGTTTCTTTCAAAGCGGAAAACGGCCCCTGCATCAGCTCCTGACACACCAAGAGCATTGCAAACAACGACAATCGTGAGCTGCAACAGAGCTAGCTTTGGTGGCATTCTCAAGTGTACGAACTGGATTTCAGAACTCAATGTACTGTGGGCTGCGCACTTTGCGGGTATGACGGAGGATCCTTACTTTGAGCAACCCCCACCGACCATCTTCCCAAAGCGGTATCACAAAGTCCATAGAGCCATAAGCCACCCCTGCTCGCCGGGCTGACTCCGAGTTGAAAATTTCGAAGGAATAGATGCCTGGTGCATCTTCTCGAAGCGCCTGCAAATTCACGTTTTCTGTCCCTGGGGCCTACCATTAAGACTGGGCAGAGGCACTGAAAGACTATTTGAAGGGTGCTGGGATTTCTGCGGGGCATACGAGCCTGTTTCGTTATTTTCCGGAGAATTAATGGACATGGGTTCCTAGTTGGGAATACATTACGGCCTATACAGAAATACCAATGAACCCCTATGTTCACTATTAATGGTCTCATTGTAGCCAGAATATTGACGGTAGCTCACATGAACTTTGGAAAGATCTTCAATTTCCTAAAGTCCGAACCGTGGGCCCTCAGCATCCGCGCCTACCTGTTTCCTGGGTCTCTTGATTGGGTCTATAAGGTTCAAAAGGGTAGGTAATGGATATTAGTTTCCCAAAATGGGGTGACTCCAATATAGACCCCAAAATACTATGATCCCTATTACAGAAACCTCCAAAAGGTACCCCCAATTTTGGGAAACCCCCAGATATGCAATAAGTAAGGACTCCAGGATTCCGTGCCCAAGGAGGAACCAATAGGACCTGTTTTATCGGAACTTTTCTCCATGGCGTGAATTTCCAGGGTTTAGGGTTAGAAGTATGGGCCCCTAACATGGGCCCTTAGGCCTCTACGGGGATTCTAGGGACCCTTAAGGGTACACATAGGGTGCATAGCAGGTATACAAGGATCCCAGGGTTAACGGCTCATATTATGGGCCAATGGTTTCAAGCTTCCAGAAAAAGATTCTTAAAGGACATCATCCCTTCTTTGGTACCCTGTAAATTAGGGGCCAGATTACACTACTAACCCAATATGGGCCAGAATTTGGACCATCTTCCACATGCTTAGCCAGCCCTCGTTCTCCCTTCACGTTCAAAGCTGACTTCTGGATCCGTTCTTCAAGCGTAGGGCTTCAAAAAACATCCCCACACTAGATCCCCAAAAGGCCCTGTATAACCTCAGGCTCACCCTATGCATCCCAAACTGGATAGCACCCACCAAGCTTTTAAGTCAGAAGCTCCCCGTTGCTGGCAGCACCTGCTTTAGGTCGTCTCCGGAAGAAGTGGCAGCGAGGAAGCTGGGTGCCAACCACCTGCACAAATCCTCCCTCAAAACCCCTGAAGCTGTTTTCTGCTCTGAGAAAAATGTGAAGTTAGGGTTTAAGGGTGAGTGCTAGCGCTTCGGGGTTAAGTCGCGATCGCAGCGAATTTTCTGTTGCTGCCAATATCAATGAGTTTGCTTATACCACTACTGATTTCTTCGCTTCCCCTTCACGAAAACAGACCCTGCCTCATGATGTTAGTCTAGAGAACAAGAACTGTATCAGGTTTACAGCTATATTATGTGCAAAGTGTGAAGATATGCAAGCCCTTCCACCAACATGTATTCCCTGTGTGATATCAAGCTGGCTTTTTGAATAAGGGGCAGGTTGCTTTCAACTCTTGGTAGGGTTACGTATATTGGCCTCGCTCTGCCGGCCATACAGGGATTTCATAAGACAGTGTCCTGACAATGACAAGTGTACTGATAAACTTGGAACACTTGAGGGTGATGCAAAATTTGGTAGTTTCCCAAAATAATGGAACCCCAATATAGGCCCCAAAATACTATAGTCCTTATTATGTGTACCCCCCCAAGAGGTACCCCTAATTTTGGGAAACCTCCATTTGGGTATGTGTCCTGGTGAGACGCTGCTGGAGGAATCTGACATTATCCGAAGAATTTGTCGACAGCCCAGCAATGGCAACAACTGGGTTGCTGTTAAGGAACTTAGATTAAATTGCTATATTGGGGAAACCCTATTATTTGCTATATATACCCATTATGGTAACTTAATTTAAGTTCCTTAACAGCAACCCAGACAATGCCAGCATCCTATTTGGAACCCCCTTTGGAGAGCTGCTGCTCGCATCTGCGAGCAGGCCCCTATGCACCAGACAGTACTTCCCGGAGTACTTCCTAGGTCCCAGTGCTGCAGAGGAATGTAGGCAAAATCCCGCCTCTTCAAGTTCTCTCGAGGATTCTCGAACAGCTCTGGATGAAGAGGAACGTAGTGTCCTGATGCAAGCACACATTGCACGCACCTCCCGCAAGCAGGCAGTTCTACATCGATTCAAGCTGAACTGGCAACCGTCTGCACCTTCTTTGTAAATGTCCCCGAAAAAGTGCTTGCGTAGCTTCGGCGGTCCTGTCACAGGCAACATCTCTGAAACCTCATCATGGACGTCAGTAAACCGAAGACGGATGTTCAACTGGAGGAGTGCGTGGCTGTTTGGAAGTATTTCGACGCACCCCCATTTTGACTTTAGCCGCATACTTTTCAAGAGGTGACCACGCCGGTCGCCAGGTGAAACCACTAGGATGCTTGTCAAATTCAAAAGAGCAACATCTACATCAGACTTTGACTATTAGTACCGTGATGTCTGGCAACTACGATGAATCCTGCCATTTCTACGATCAATAGTGGTAGCAAGTGGCATGACACCATCTTACCACTCTTTCTCCTACTACTACTCCTCCAAGTACTTTTACTTCTACGTTTTCTACTATTGCTACCGCTAGTGCCAATGCAGCTGATACTACCACCACCACCACCACCACCACCACCACCACCACCACTACTACGACCACTGCCACCATAAGTCCTACCATCACCACTACTACTACATCTTCTACTTCAAGTGTAGGATGGCTATCCCCACATGAGCCACAGCCTAGACTCCTAGTATCCCCCTCAATAACCCTTATAGTAATCCCTCAAATAATCCCCCGTTAAGGAGTTTAGATTACAGCCCACATCGACCTAGAGCCGCTTTCGGCTTTTGCTGCGGCTCTCATTTCGATTGCGCTTCCGGCTGCGGCTGCGCTGGGAGCCTGGCAAGCAAGCCATATGAAGATTCAAAGAGTCAAGTTCGTAAGCTTTGTAATGCTCGACTGGCTAGCTGACACAGCAACAAATTCCTCTAAGCGCGGCATCCGCTTCCCTACATCTTCCATGTTCTGTCTACTTCAGGGCGACCGCGCTTGCAAGACCATTTATGGACTACTTTTGTACTGACAAGGCGAGTCAAGAAGAGGTCTCACAAGCATACATGGCGTTGGGAATCCTCTGCACGCTCTGAATTACCCATCTTTGCTGCAACCTCTGCAATCGCCAACTCTACCACCACCCCCAACCTCAACCCAAACCCCAAACAGAAGTAATCATTATACCCTCAACCCTGTCGCTGCCATGAAATCATGCTCGTATAACCCAGCTATGACGCACGGAACCACGGGGGGGCGGAGTAATAGGTCATAACCCCTCTACAACAACTATAAACCCTCTATAAATACAGTCTGACCACACAAGGGGAGTGTGGAGGGGTATAGTTTCGTACTAGAGCCCAGAAGATAGCCACCACACAAGAGAGTCACAAGAGGGAGATGTTCTTAAGCCCAAACGGCCAACCACGCCACGGGGGCGGGAGGGAGAACATCTCAGTTTTCGCGAACCAAAAACCACCAGCCAGGCCGTAGGATAGGGGGGGCGAACCAGTGGGGGTGGGAGGGCCGGGGGCCGGCTATAGCCCTAGCCCTATCTAACCTATACAACCCTAAGTCACCCCTGATTCACTCTGAACCTCCAATCTGAAGCCAGGCCTCTTGGAGGAGCGCTGGGTTCTGGGGAGCTGAACTCCTGAGGACGCCAGCGGCTGGCACTGCGGCTCCTGCCAAAGTGCAGAAGATTGGGGGGAAGGGAGTTTAGGATGTTGAGGTGTTTGGCTTGAGGTTTGGGCCTGAGGGGCTTACGATTTGGGGGTTAGGCATTGATGCATGAGGTTGGAGGATTAGATCCAGCTGAGCGTTTACGGTTCATCATGGGGAGCGGGCTAAGTGCAACTCATCAACCATATAAAAGGAAGCAGGCCTTTCTGGAGTCTCACACCCTTCCTGCCTACTCCCCTTCGCCACTGATGATCTTAAGCAATTCAGAAACGATATCAGGGTAGAAAGTGGATGCTGTTGCAAGTATGCTGCAGGAGGCCATCAACAGTGCGTCTGTTGTTAGAAGTGTCATGCTTGTTGACGTTCTCTTTGCTTCTGTGGGCGGCAAGACTGCGCAGGGATTCAGTGGTAGAAGTAGCCTTTTCTGAAAAAGACTGAACATCCAGCCTTTCAGGGGTCACGCTCCGCTTCTGACGAACCGGGCTGATGCTCCTGCATATCACCAGATCTGGATGTTGTGGCAGTTTCCAAACATGGGGGAACACAAGACCATATACTGCTAAAAGGAGCTTCCTTACATCAAGACTCCTAACACAATCCCCTTCGATCTGGCAAATTATAGCTACCCTAAACCCTAAACTGCATGCCAAAAATGGCTCCACAAGTCTTCTCAGCTGGCTTCACAAACACCCTCCTTCTGCGACGGGTTCTGCTTCGCTCCTTGCCAACCTCCACGAGCGGTAATTACCGTTGTTGTTGTGTTTGCTATCATTGCCGTTCTTGCGACTTGTTTATGATACGTGTCATTCATCTTGTTTTTGTCTGCTGCCCATTTTTTCCGGTATTGCTGTTGTCAGCGGTGATGTTATGTTGCTGGGTGGGCTGGCTCCGTCTGCTGCAGCGAACGCTTGGGAGACGGAGGCGTGTCAGCCTATAACATCCTATAGCAGAAGTGGCAATGACAGCAATAGTAAAAGACATGCAGGACTGAAGTTCTTCGTGTACTCAGAGCCCCACATTGCTTCTGCTGCGTTTGCCTGACCAAAGTTTCCAGCAAACGCAAGATGCCGAATCTCCACAGTCGAAGCTGGCTGGCTGGCTGGACAGCGCTTGCAGCTTTCAATCTTCGACTTGTGGGAATGTATCACGGCTGCTGTGAAGAGCCATTGTGCTACTCAACTAGGAGTTCGGGGGACTTGCAGGGGCAAACACATGTTCTAGTGCCGACATCAGGAACTCAACAACGACCTAAAGAGATTAGGCAACTCATGTGTTGATGTTGTTGTTGCTGCTGCTGTTGTTGCTGCTGGTGTTGCCGTTGTCGCCGCCGCTGCCGTTGCCGCCGCCGCCGCCGGTGGTGGTGGTGGCGGCGGCGGTGGCGATGGCGGTGGCGGTAGCGGTGGCGGCGG